CGCCTAGGCATCGTTTAATCTTGCCTAGGCTTCAAAGGCTTAAGGCTTGGGCGTGCCGCCTTGGCACGCCTTACGCCTTTTAGAACATTGGTTATAGGTATAAAATAAGATAAGCAGACTAATAATTTAACAAAAAAAGTTCTCTCTCACATGTCCTGCTTTTAGATATAACATGAGTCGACTAATAACTGAACAATAGAATTTCCTCTCTAATATATAGGCAATATAGTGCTTTTAGGTATAAGATAAACAACCTAATAATTGAGCGCGTGAATTTTCTCTCTAATCTATACTATCCTCCGTTCCATAAAAGTTGCATCAGTTTGACTTTCACGTTTGCCAATGCGCAACTTTGACTGTAATTATATTTATTTACGTATTAGTAAACATTAAAAAAAATTAATATATCGGAAATTTACATTAATACAAATTTATTAATATTTTATACATAATAATATTTTTATTATATATATTATTAGAAAATCGTAGTCAAAGTAAGCTGAGTGAATAGTGCAGAAATTCCAATGTTGCAACTTTTATGGAACGGATGAAGTATAGTATTTTTAGGTATAAGATAAGCTGACTACCAAGTGAGCGGAAGAATTTTCTCTCTCTTTTATAATCTTTTAGGTATGAGAAGATTAGATAAGCTCGGTAATAACTGAGCCGAATAACGTTCTCTCTCATATGTAGTGATTTTAAGTATAAGATAAGATAAGCGGACTAATAAGTGATCAAGAAAGTTTTTCTCTCTCATATGAGTCATATATAGTGCTTTTAGGTATAATATATAAGCGAACTAATAATTGAGTACAATGGTTCTCTCTCATATGTAATGCTTTTAGGTACTTCGTATACGATAAGATAGACAAGCTAATAATTGAGTTGAAAATTTTCTTTCTCATACGTAGTGCTTTCAGGTATAAGATAAGATAAACGAACTAATAATTGAGCGAGATAATTTCTTCTATCATATGTAGAGTTTTTTAGGTATAAGAAGATAAGTGGGATAATAATTGAGCGGGTGAATTTTCTCTCATATGTAGGCGTTTTAGGTATCAGATGAGCGTACTAATAAGTGAGAGAATATTTTTTCTCTTACGTAATGTTTTTGGGTATAAGATAAGCTGGCTAATAAACGAGCGGGAGAAGTTTCTCTCTCATATGTAGTACTTTTAGGCATAAGAAAAACAAACAAATAATTGACATGGAAGATTTTTCTCTCACATATGTTGTATCTTTAAGTATAATAAAACAAGATGGGTGGACTAATAATTGAGCGGGATAATTTTCTCCATCATACGTAATGCTTTTAGGTATAATAATAAAAAGATAAATGAACTAATAAGTGAGCAGGATAATTTTGTCTCATATATAGAGTTCTTTTAAGTATAAAATAAGGGGATTAATAAGTGAATGAAACATTTTTTATATCATATGTAGTGTTTTTAGGTTTTATATCCCGTTATTCATGCAAATATTTCTTTATAGTTATTCTGAAAAATTATTCTATTTTAATAATTGATTACATCATAAGTAAATATTGAAAACATGTGTAGTGAGAAAACAATTATATAATCTTTTTGGTTTGAGAAGATTTGATAAGCTCGGGAATAATTGAGCGGAATAATTTTTCCTCTCATATGTAGTGATTTTAAGTATAAGATAAGATAAGCGGACTAATAAGTGAGCAAGAAAATTTTCTCTTTCATATGAGTCATATGTAGTGCTTTTAGGTAAAATAATATATAAGTACGATAATAACTGAGTACAATGATTTTGTTTCTCATATATATTGCTTTTAGGTACAGCATATACGATAGGATAAACGAGTAAATAATTGAGTAAAAAAAATTCTTTCTCATACGTAGTGCTTTTAGGTATAAGATAAGATAAACGAACTAATAACTGAGCGGAAAAATTTCTTCTCTCATATATAGTGTTTTTAGGTATAAGAAAATAAACGGGACAATAATTCAGCGGAAGAATATTCTATCTCATATATATGTAGTAGTTTTAGGTATGAGATGAGCGTATTAATAAGTGAGAGAATATTTTTTCTCATACGTAATGTTCTTGGGTATAAGATAAGCAGACTGATAAATGAGCGGGACAAATTTCTCTCTCATATGTAGTACTTTTAGACATAAGAAAAGAATACAAATAATTGAAGGAAAGATTTTTCTCTCTTATAAAATAAGATGGACGGTCTAATAATTGAGTGAGGTAATTTTGTCCATCATACGTAATGCTTTGAAGATAAAAATATACTTATAATTCAGCGGGATATTTTCTTTCATATGTAGTGCTATTAAGTATAAAATTAGGGGATTAATAAGTGAGTGAAACATTTTTTATCACATATGTAGTGTTTTTGGGTACTATATCATCTATTATTCATGCAAATATTTCTTAATAATTATTCTGGAAAATTATTCTATTTTAATATTTGATTACGTCTTAAGTAAATATATATGCATCAATCGCTTTTCCCGTGCGTATGCACAAGTACTATACTAGTAGATTAATAAAATAAATAAATTACAATCCAAACATAAACAAACAAAACATTAACAGATAATTATACGGAGTAATAATTTTATTAAACAAGGCACTTGCTAAAAAGTTATGTTTGAAATGAAAAATAAAAAAGCTAAAGTATGTACTACTACTTATCATGAGTGGAAGTGGCCAAAACTCGTGTATCTGTTTGGCCCCAAATAACCAAACACGTGAAACAAACGCTTGGCCAATATCGTAAAATAGAGAACGATTAGCTTGTACCATCTCTCGATGCCAAAATTGCAAAAACACTGCGTAGTATTTACTTATTTATTTTGACAATAAAATAATGGTGCCACACCAAAAAATGGAACCTTCATTCGACCAAAATGCTCCAATTAAAAATATCATAAATGCCTTTATATTTGTCCCATAGATATATACATACATGGTTTACATGTATGTTGAAATTTTAAATAAATAAGAATTATTATATCTGTCTCACTAAGATTGTCTCATACCAAATTTGGTAAAGTTTTTGCGACTTTAAATCATTCTTACTTTATTCTTACTTTATCAATTCAATATCACTCAAATAAATCACTTTTTAATGATTTGCGTGTTACTCCATATTGTCCCAATTGTTAGCGGGACAGAAGGAATACTACTACGTAATTGCTAAGAGGCATTTGAGAACCCCTATCTTTATGTTATCAATCACTTTTTCATGTAAAAATGTAATCTCTTCGTTCCGTTGAAAGATTCTCATTTTCCTTATTTGGGTGTTTAATTCAAAGTTTTCTATATTTACTCTCTTTAATTGTACCTTTATCAAACTTTTCTTTTCTACTCATTACATGTCAAGTCCCACAATCTTCTCACCCCCAACTTATCTCTCTTCAATTACTTTCACTTTAATATACGTAGTATATGTTTACTTTTTCTAAAAAAATCTTTCCTCTTTTTTAGCCAAATTACTTTATTTAATCACTTGCCTAAACAATGATGACACTTATCCATGAAAACCTTCCAACGAGACGGAGGGGGTATTTTTAATTTCATGTCCTGAATTATGTAATAATAAAAACAAAATTAATTCTTTTTTCTGGTTCAATCGATTGAAGATACAGTAGAAGACCAGTTTATCTTTTCTGGTCTAGTTTTTGTTCGTTATTTTATTAATAAAATTAATTTTAAATATAATATTCTTTCGTTCTTAAATATGAGTCTTCTTAGGCTTTTACACGGGTTTTAAGAGGAAAATAATAGGGGTAGGGTAAAAGGTGTGGTGAGTTGTGGGTAAATGAAAAAGTAGGAAAGAGAAAGGGGTAATGTTAATAAAAGTGGATGTATAAAGGTATTTTGATTGAAAAAACTTGCCAAAAAGGGAAAAAGGAACAAATAATTAAAAATGTCTCAAAAAAGAATGCGAGACAGTTAATAAAGAACGGAGGGAGTATTTCATAGTTCAACAAATTCGGTCATTTTAGTTAAATTCATCGATTTCAGCCGATTAGATTGGAATAATAAAATAGACCTACACCATACTTGTGTGAGTGCGCAGAGGGATAGGCTTGTCAATGGGTCGGGTCTAGACCCAGACCTGCCCCGGACCCGACCCGGACCCGACCCGGACCCGGTTGTTTTTAATGGGTACGGGTCTATATTTTATTCCGTTTACCCGGATCCGGATCCGGACCCGTTGGTATTTTAAATAAACGGGTCAGGTATGGTACATATGATTCCGACCCGTTAAGGATCCGCACCCGTTTAAAATTTTTTATTTGTATACACATACACTCAAACATAAAGTGATTAATTATAACACTTTACATAAAATAGAAACTAATATACATATATACATAATAATACATAAAGTTATTAGTTGTGAATTTGTGATTATTCAATAAAAATATACACATTAATACATAAATACCACAGAGTATATAAGTGATAGTGATCAAGATAGTAAGATACCCTAAAACTAATACGATAATATTTATTACTATTATTATTAATATTATTATATCATTATCATATATAATACTACATATGCTTTTATACTCTTAGTAGTCTAAGAGACCTTTTTATGATTTAATTTCTAGTTTATTCTACGTGTTTTTTGTGCGAGAGAAAACGGTGCAAAGTGTGGAGCTATATGCCTGTACAAGAACCGATACTTTATTAGATAAAAGTACTAATTTTCTATGAGAGACCTTGATTTTTTTTGAAAAGTGGAGATATATTTTGCTTTTAAATTTGTACACTTTGCTGTATATTTCACATACATGTCTTACTATTTTCATAAAGTTTATAATGATGTGTGTATCATACTTGGCGGGCAGGTTTACCCGACCCGATTCCAAGACCCGTTGGGTCTGGATTTGGATCCAAATTTTCAGACTCATCTGGTAAACGACTCGGGTCCGGGTGCTTATTACGAAAATGGAATACCCGTACGTGAATTTGTGTGGAAAATTAACAAAAGTATATACGAAGCAGGTGTTTATTCTGATATCTGGTGACAAATACAATTATCATAACTCAATGCCGCTAGCCATTCAGATAAACACCCAAAGACTCAAGAATGAATGAAAAAACGGATCTATGATAAACAAACTCAATTCGGCTCCAATGCAATTGGGTTTCGGGGCCTTCAGTACATGGTGTAAGGCCTTAAGGAATGCAGAATCGCCTGAAAGAACCTTGAGGATATACAGGAAGATGCAACGGTTAGGAGTTCCGTCTGACAGCTTCGCCATTCTTTTCACTCTCAAGTCTTCTACGCTGCTTCAGAACTTGTGCATTATACGTCACCTCCATGCCCTTATTATCAAAGAAGGGTTCTCCTTCCATGTCTACGTTGCTACAGCTTTGCTGAATGCTTACGCTGTCTCTTGCTTCCGCGGTGCATATAATCTGTTCGACGAGATTCCAACAAAGAATACCGTCACGTGGAACACCATGATGAAGGCATACTCTAGATGTGGGTATATCGATGAAGCACGGGAGGTGTTTGATAAAATGCCTCTGAAAGACCTTGCCTCATGGTCAGCAATAATTGCAGCGTATATGAACAACCGAAGATGGAAAGAAGGGTTAGCTATCTTCCGGGAGATGGTGATCACTGTCAATGATTTAAAGCCTGATGAAATAACATTAGGCCCAGTATTGGCAGGTTGTTGCCATATGGGTTCAATAGGGTTGCTTTTGGGGAAAATGTTGCATGGTTTTGCAATAAGAAATGAGTGGGAAATGAATGCCAACTTTGGAACCTGTTTGGTTGACATGTATTCGAAATGCGGGGTCTTAAAGAATGCTTTCTTGATTTTCAATTCAATGAGAGATAGAAATGTCGTAGCTTGGACGTCTTTGATATGTGGTGCGGTGAATAATGGTTTTGGAAATGAAGCCCTCGAGATATTCAAGAAGATGAATGAGGCCAGAGTGAGGCCTAATGAAGTAACATTCACAGGTGTGCTTAGTGCTTGTGCTCAAACAGCATTAGTGGAAGAGGGCCGCCGATATTTTAGAATGATGAAAGAAGAGTATGGGTTGACGCGTAGCATTCAACACTACGGATGTATGGTTGACTTGTTCGGAAAGGCAGGACTATTAGAGGAAGCGTATGAGGTCATCAATTCAATGAGTTTTGAACCCAATGTTATCATTTGGGGTTCCTTCCTGTCATCATGCAAACTACATAAACAGTTTGAGATGGGCGATAGGGTCATTGAGAGGGTAATGAAGACTGTGAAGCCGGAGAATGATGGAGGGGTTTACTCTCTTATTTCTGATATATATGTTTTGAGTGGCCGATTGGGACAATCAGAAAGTGTAAGGGAGTTGATGCTCAATGACAATGTCAGAAAAGCTAGAGGTTCTAGTTTTATCAGAAGTTGAACCACATAGCCAGGCCATTGTCCTTAAAATTCAGTTGGTTTTGCAGTCAAGTATGATCTCATGTTCAGAACCAGAAGCTTTGCTGATGAGAGTTATTGACCAAATGCTGTCTCAACGGTTTTCACATTTGTTTTTATGTAAAAAATCACCCTAAATAGGAGTAAAAACATTATAGGAACACTATGCTTTTTATTCTGTATATAGGACCATAGTTGTCATGGCGCATGGCGCAACCCATGGCGCACAGGCCATTTTCCATGGCGATGGCGATGGCGAAAATATGGCGTCGCCACGTGACAAAAAAAACCTTCAAAACGAATAATAGATACTGCAATTCATCAACCCAAGTTTACCCAACCACCAAAACATGATAAAATAGTTCAAAGTACTTCCAAAAAACATAATATTCAAAAAAAAAGTTTCTGTCTTGCAAAATATGTTAGGATTTAGGCTTGTTAGCTTGTTTTTGTTTGATGATTATTGCATAATCATCATCAATCATCAGACTCCTCATCATCTTGGTCTGATTCTGATAGCAATGGCACACCATCCTCATTCATTTCATCCTCGGAGGGATCTGCAACCTCGTCCGTTTCCTCCATTTCCTCCGCCTCCATCTTGTTGTTAGTATTATGGGCTAAAATAGTAAGTTTTTGTTAGAGTTTTATTGCTGTTATGGGTCGCAGATTGTTATGGCCCCAAAGTCCACAACTTACAGCTCAAAAACACGGACCCATTTTGTCAAAAAAACATTCGCATCGCCATGGCGAAGGCGCAGGCATGGCGAAGGCGCAGGAATGGCGACGCCATGTGTATACACCTCGCAACAGCCCCTTTTCATAGCGCAGAGGGTTTTTCGCGCCACATGGCGCATGGCGCGCGCGCCATATTGCACCATCGACTACCATGTATAGGACTAATTAGTACCATGGTTGGAAAATTCTGTAATTTATGGCAGTAATATGATCTGAAATCCGAAGTTCCATTGTCTTGATTCAAAGAGAAGAGGTAGAAGAAGCCCTGGTCAATTGTGTGGTGTGTTAATGACATGGCTACAACGTTGAGGTGGCAGTGTTGGTTGAGCAGTTGCAGCGGTGGAGCTGTTGCGGCTTGAGAGAAGCTGATGCAGTTTGGAGCAGGTGGAGGGAGATGGGCTGCGACTTGAAGCATGCGGAGGAGATGGTCAAGTGGTCTGGCCAGAAGCTTGAGAAGCCTAGAGGTAGAGGGCGAGAAGAATCAGGTTAGATTAGCTTTGGCTTAAATATGCTGAAAGAAATTAGGTGTAGAGGTTTTTGGTACACTTTTTGCGTGCATCTTCTATTTTGCATGCACTAGTGGAAAAACACTAATTTGCGGCATTACATAGGCGGCGGTTTTATAATAACCGCCACATATTTAACTTAAGAACTCAATTTATAACTAGAGTGCTCATTATTTGTTTGGAAACTATTCTGTTTTTTCTAGATATATGTGCTAACTATTATGTGCTCATTAGTCATTATATTGGAATTATTGGAACTACTTTGTTTTGATAGTTATAAAAGTGAAGTTATTTTGAATTCATTAGGGATAATGAGCTGATTGAAATCAAGTTCACCATTTTTGCACTACGACCGCTATCACTACTTTGACTACTGGTATGTGTATTGTCTTCTTTTATCATATTAAAATTGTGATCTCATATTTTTAGTTTAATAAGTGACTTATATTAAATTAGTTTAACAATAGTATTCTGTATATCTTTAATTAGGCATTCTGATTGAAAACAGATGGTTGATAAAAACAGTTGTGTTTGCTTAATCTTCACAGCCATCACAGGTACCCATATCACTGCCGCGCGGCATGTTTCTCGTCTTTTTTTTATTCTTATTGTACCTTTTGGCAGGGATGAAGTTTTTACTTCTCGGTTTCGCATGAATTCAATTTTAATTTGTGAGATTAAACAATATGTTGCGTTTAAACGTCACTGGAGAAATTTGATTTTTCATAGAGAGATGCAGATTATCACCAGGGAAACACTGGATAATCAAGGCCCCTATCAAGATTCAAGAGTACTAAGAAGCTCGATCTATGCTGTAAGTTCATGAATTGTATTTCCACATGTGTTGCTCTTCTATTTTATTTCAGCCAAAAGTAGAGTTAGCCTTGGTTAAGATTTGATGGCCATATATAGCTTAGATGTGAAGTGAAGAACTATTTTAGCTATTTGGGTGTCCTAGGTTATGGAAGCGCTTGAGAAGAGAGGGTGTGAAATATGGTGTGATTGTGAGTTGTAACTATCTCAACCATAAATGAACAAGATAAACCACATATACTCCATACATAGCATTTTATATAGCTACCTAGTTGACATTGGGAAACATAAATAGAAATTTGCAGGTGTTGTTGTGATAAGCAGTGGCCTGGATAAAAGTTTCATGCCTAGGAACTGAGCAACAACGAAGTGCATGCAATTTTCTTGGAACGGAGAATGAGAAATTCTGCATTACATATTGGCTTAAAATACTCCATGTAAGCACTTTCATATTACTGATTAATTTACGTACCAGCTACTAGATTACTAGTTCTTCCTGGCATTTTCTAACTAACTGACTAACTGAGTAATTGTAATAACAAGAGCACGGGTGTTAAGTATCTGACTGAATTACAGAGAGAATTCTAGCAAACAATAGGAACGAAGATGAACAGTGTATACGATTTGTTATTCGAACAACAGAAAGTGCCCTGACAGTTAAAGAGATGTCAACTCTCCAGTCCCAGCCCAAAACCAAATAACCGCCTCCTTATTCCTCCTTTAGCTATCTATTTATAGAAGTCCACCCGACCCCCCAAATACAATTCAGCTAGCTACTTATTATTCTCTTTCCTTCTGGAATACACTTTATCATAATAGCTAATACTATTATTATTATTATTATTATTATCAAATGGTTGACTTCCTGAGACTCTAACATCACTCCCCCTGGAACAACCACCTCGTCCTCAAGGTGGGTCATAGAATATAGTCCTGATGAACAGCTTCTTCCTCATCTTAGCGCCTCGTCCTTCCCAGTATCTTCCAAATTTCAGGACCCTGAACTTCATAAACTGAACCTTTTCCATCACTTTTACCATAGCAAGCAGCTGAGGCAAGGGCATGGTTACATGTTGTTTCACTAAAACCTGGCCAGCACGAAGTGCTACAACCCCTACTGAGCCAATCTCAAGGGCCAGGCCATCTATAATTGCAGGAAGATCTGGTGATGCTTTTCGATGAGAACAGTTTTGTATGCTATCCGAAACAACCTCCAATATAATATAGATTCTTCCTGAATGAGTAGCAACCACAATTATACCCCTCCCACTATTTCTGAAAACTGATATAGGGGCCATGTGGATCTGCTCTATATCTTTAATATCTCCAGCCTCAGTATTTTTAGCCTCAAAATATTTTTCAAGGAGAAAACTGTTCCTCTTGTTTGCTTCAAACAATTCTGATAAGCGGCTTAAGCGCGTGAACAGTGTTCCAAACTGCCCCTGAGAGAAACATTCCTGAATTCTCTTTGCTTCCCTAACTGGATCTGCATTCAACTTTCTTAGCTTCAGTGAGGAGAAAGAAGTCATAACTATTTTTCCCGGCGAGTATAGTTCCACTTTTATCTTTCGAACATCTTCAGCTAGCTTAGTTTCCAGTGAAAGAACACTACTGGAACAATTCACTTCTGGATTATTGGAACCTAAGACCATTTTGTAAGGTTTGAAATTTGATTCAGCTTCTAGTCCATTCACAGCAGTCTGAATAGCAGGGTCCAAGTCCACACTGATTCTACACATCAGGTATCCAAGATCAAATTCATCTCCCAGCAACTGTGTCTCTCCCGTATAGATTTCAGCCTGCATTATGTGTGTCCAGGGAATCTTAGGAATATCAGAATCTGAAACCATTACTACAACAATTACAGTTGGACCACTTTGTTCCAACACAAACCCCACCACGTACGCCTTTCCCACAATTCACTGGTATAGGTTCCCCTGTAACCTTGACCTTCCCAACTATGATACCTAAACTCCTTAGAAACTGAGCTTTCAGGACAATTGTGTTTGCCCTTGAGTCACTGATAGGTTGGACACCAGGACCCCCATATACATGAACCATAGTTTTATATGACAGAAGTCCCGATGTTGCTTCATCTGGTTTATATAGTCCCATCAAACATGGTACTCCCATGTTGTGCTTGTATTTGAGTTATCTCTGATATTTCCAGTTGGAATATTTTGAGCATCGGAAAACTCATTGGGGTTGGTTGCTCAGGCAGTTGCATGCTGAAACTTCCATCAGGCAAGGTGAAAACAGAGCTTCTAACCCAGCAGCTTTCCTTGTTCCTCCCCTTTGCTCAATCACCCCATGACCATGAGTTGAAGCATCCAGGGAGTCTCCATTAGAACCCATAGGGCCTTCCATGTTGTTCCCTCCAACGGCTTTCAGCATACTATCTGTGGTCCTCATAGTTAAGAACGGTTGAATAGGGTCAGAAGGATTCCAGTACATCACCCCATCACCAAAGTACTGGTTATAATCCATATCAATACAACCACGGATCTCTAATTCGTCTTCTGTGACATGATAGTGGTGCAGTACCTTTTCAGCATCCCTATTGTTAGCTACTTTCATATGATCAGAATTATAACCGTGAACATAGCTCAAACTATCAAACCCCTCAAAGAAATTATTTTGGTTTTGCATTTCAATTTTGTCCTCCTTTTTCTCAGACTTTGATTCATCCTCTTCTATTTCCTCAGTTTCCTCTTTACGGACAGTTTTTGTAGGGCTTTCCCAAGTATTCGAACCAACAATTTTATAAACGCCATATTCATATTCCACGTCAATGGACTGAATCACCACAGAAGTTTTTACCTCTGGTTCCTCATCACCATTGATGAATGTATCTTCAGAGTTAGGTTGTTGCTGACTCCCAGACTGCTGCGGGAATGAAACTGACTCAACTTGCGGACTGTGAGAAGCGGAAATATGCGAATTGAGATAAGTCGCTCTTTGAGCCTTGCGAACTGAGACCTGCGAACTGGTAGACACTGTGCGCGACTGCGAGTGCGATGATTTCCGGTTTTCTGTCTTCCGCCTGCGTGTAGGTTGGAATCTCTGAATTGTAGCTTCCTTCAGAACTTCCCAATTCTTTTCTCTAGTTTCAATTTCCCACCATTGGAACCAGTCTAACGCCCTTTCCTCCATTGCTTCTTCTGCGACTCTAACCTTATGTTTTTCCGCAATAGCGTTGAGTTGGAAGTATCGTTCCATCTTAATTATCCATCCGTACACCTCATTCCCATTGAATACTGGTAAATCTACTTTCCTTCCAGATTTCTCCATCCACTTGCTATAATCATTGTTTCGCGAAGAAGAGCGGTGATTACCTGAAGAAGATGAAGAAGATTCGCTAATGTCATGTCTCTTGCTTCGTTTTGTTGTTTTAGATCTTCCGCGCGACTGGCTCTCACTCCACTGCAGTAACTCGCGCAACTCATCGCGAGTTCGCTGAGCTTCTTCGTGCATCGCTTCAGATGAGTCGTCACTGTCAGTTCTCGCACTTTTTCTGGATGTTTTTGATCTTTCGCGTGATTTGCGAATTGCGATCATTCCGCTGCAGAATGAGTTCGCGTAACTCTTCTCTATTTCGTTTGGCTTCTTCGTGATTCTTCTCCAATTGGCGCACCATGTTCTTGCGATTCTTCTCCAATTGACGCACCATGTTCTCGCGATTCTTCTCCAATTGGCGCACCATGTTCTCGCGACTCTTCAACAGCTCGCGCTCCACATTTTCCAACCTCGCTTCCATCGTACGCCTGGTAGCAACATAAACAGATACCACGATCGTTGCTCTGATACCAATGTTAAGTATCTAACTGAATTACAGAGAGAATTCTAGCAAACAATAGGAACGAAGATGAACAGTGAATACGATTTGTTATTCGAACAACAGAAAGTGCCCTGACAGTTAAAGAGATGTCAACTCTCCAGTCCCAGCCCAAAACCAAATAATCGCCTCCTTATTCATCCTTTAGCTATCTATTTATAGAAGTCCACCCGACCCCCCAAATACAATTCAGCTAGCTACTTATTATTCCCTTTCCTTCTGGAATACACTTTATCATAATAGCTAATACTATTATTATTATTATCAAAAGGTTGACTTCCTGAGACTCTAACAACGGGTGTGAACAGACAGAACCTTGGTGAGCCAGGAGCAGGCGTATCTAGTTCTTTCAACTGCAGCCTTATTCTCAATTAATTACACCTTAATGATTTTTAAGTGCAAAATGAGACAGTATATGGTGTCCATTAGCTGGAATGGTTGCTGCACAGATTATTAAGGAAGAATATGATAGCCACATACTAGTTCTGTTTTTGGAAAAGCCATTAGTTTATGCCTACTTTTACCTTGAATGTTAATACACTAATTAGTGTGTAACTAATGAATTAAGTAGTTAATTAAAGAATGTCAATTGTAAGTAAGTTGGTTTAATTGTTATGTTAAAGTGTGTTAATTCTTAATTGTATTGTGTTTTTAATAGATTATAATTATTATTTATTTTTCAGAGTTGGACTTCAACACGAGAGTCATTTGAAGAAATATATATGGGTGAATTGGTGATAAGTGGGTTATTTGTTTTCTTGATGTAAAAAATGACAGTTTAGACAACTATATGTATGAGCTCTTTGAGATTTGCGGTTTAATTGTTTTGCTTATGATCTCGATCTATCATCACACATTTTTAATTTTATTTATTTATTTTTTTGAAATTCGCGGCAATTCTTAGCTAATAACCACCCCATATTTGATAAAAATATTTGAAATTTGCGTCGATTCTTAACTAATAACTGCCGCGTATGTTAAAAAAGATTCAAAATTTGCGGCGGTTCTTAGATAACATCTGAAGTGAATTTCAAAAAAAAAAGTGCGGTTTTGGCCAAAATAACCGTCGCACGTAGTTATTTTGTGATTGGGCCATTTGTGGCGGTCAAATCCGTTGCGCGTTGGCCCTTTAAACCGCTGCAAATTCGATAAAAATATTTGAAATTTGCGGCGGTTCTTAATAAATAACTGCCGCGTACGTTAAAAATTTGTTGTGCTTCTTAGATAATAACAGTCGCGAATTTAAAAAAAAAAATTGCATCGGTTTTGGGCAAAATAACTGCCACACGTAGCTATTTTGCGATGGGACTGTGTGTGGCGGTCAAATCTGAATTCGTATATGCTACAACTGGTTGTACGGTGCGTACCGTACAGCCGGCCCAGTTGTGCTAAATAAAATAGATGTTAGCGGAGGCCCATAACTCAAAGACACAAAATTTTGAATTACTCCGTAAAACCAAATTGTTTACAACGAGTAATTTCAAACCATTCTCAAACATTGGAATTTGTTCGCAACTCACAAGAGACATAAATGTTGCGAAGCTATGTAGCTGCATTTGAGCATGACAGTCGAGAACGGTTGCAACGACATTAATGGTGAACTGTATATCCCCATTAGCGCTGTAAGAGAAACAACATGTTCGAAAACAGAGAAAAAAGTTTGAGATCTGAAGTGATAGGTTTTGAGTAGTACGAATGAAGGCAGCTATGGACATCGTATCAGAGTATAATATGATTTCAAATGCAGATGAAGATAACGAAAGTGTTGAAGCATCCAAACTCCATTGCTCCAAAGAGTATGTAACATTCTGTACTATACATTTGGATTTTATTTTGTAGTTCTTAAAATAAAATGTTAAAGTACTTGCATGTGCGTTAAATTCTGGAAAACAGTAGCATCAATCAGGAGAAATGTTTATCTGATAAGGAATTTCATGTTAAATTGACGAATCAAGAGTAGAGCATTTATATTGCTCATTATTTGCTGTGTGGTACTCATATTCTGCGTATATAGCTTAAAATTTGTTTATTAAACAAAACAATACATTAATAATGAAGGTTATAATGCATTAATGCTATCATTATCTGATTTGATGTACTCATATACCAGTAATATACTATCGTATATGTTATGAAGTAATGAAATATTTGTTTTGCTTTTAGATATTTCTTATTCTATTAAATGTTACATGAAAACTGGGAGTATACTCATTGTGTACTTCATACTACTCATGTTTATTGCAAATAAAGTTATGTGTTTATTAAGTAGTAAAATGCTTATAAAATATTTGTATTCTATAATAGTGTTGCTTGAAAATTGATATAGTACTCATCATGTTGTGGATAATGCTGAAACAGTAATGAAATTTCTTAATAGTATTCATAATATTTGCACATAATTTCCTATATAATTATTAAAGTATTCAAATGAACACTTAATATGCTCATTGAAAAAGTAGTAGATGATTTATCATTGTGTAATTATTAAAAGTCAAATGATTTACATATAGAGTGCTATATATCATTTCAAAAATAATATATGAAATCTTGTATCCTTAAATATTGTTCCATAAAGACTATTAACATACTCATCATGATATGGTGTTTACTCATTTAAACTAATAATCCAGCAGTCCAACAACAAAGGCTGTAACAGAAATTCCAATCCTACGGAGAAAACCAAAAAGGAATCCAAATAATAAAAAACCATTGGTTCAGCAAAAGAAAGGCATTATTCAGAAGAAAAGAAAGATAACTAAAGAAAGTGCAAAAGGTGCAAAGGAGATGATCAGTGCGAATGTAGGTGTGAAAGGTATAGAATGCTCCAAGCAGAAGGAAGATGAAGTTCATCATTCAATTCAAGAGAAAGAAGATGAACAGTTTCATCAACATACAGTTGGGGATGCCAAGCAATATATTGAACAACATGAGCACCTACAAGGAGATGATGAGCAAGAGACTCAATCCTCTGAAGAAAATGATGATGGTAATCATGGAGATGATTATGTTTTAAAAGAAGCTGAGCAACAGATTGTTCCAGATGAGCAACAAGATTTGATTGAAGCAGAACAAGAAGGGGTTCAAAAGAAGAATACTGAAAAGAAGAGTAAGAAAACAGTATCAAGGCAAACAGAGTCTGAGGATGTTAGACAACATAAAAGAATGACAAGGTCAAGCACATCAGAAGAATGTGAAAAGAAAAAGGAAAATGAAGTTGAGAAAAATGGCTATAAAAGGAAAGTGATAGCAAGGAGAGATAAGCAAGAAGATGCTGCAAGAAAAAGACAAAGCACAAAAGCAGAAAAAGAAAAGCTGAAGAAAAAAAAGAATATGAACAAGAAGAGGAAGAAAATGAGGAATTAGAGAATGAGAGTAATGATAAACTCTCAAAGCTATGGACTAGAATGTCTCCAAGAAGTCTAACTGAATTAATCACAACACTGAGTGAACAAAAAGCAGAAGTGGTGGAGATGGGATTTGGCCCAATACTATACTTACAAATCAAGAAATTGCCAATGCAGTTGGCATATTGGGTTGTGGATAAGTTTGAAAGTAGAAGCGTGTCACTAAAGTTGCCGAGCAATGAGAAATTGCGTATCAATGAAGATACAGTGCACTACACAATGGGGTTTCCAAAGGCAAAATTGAATGTGAAAAACATGATAGATAATCAAGGTGAAAAACAGCAGAGATGGTTGCTGATTGGAGATCACAATTGCCAAGTGATAAAGGACTTGTGAAGACTGGTGAATTGAAAAGGCTTTTGGAGGAAAACAAACAAGTTGGAGACTGGTTCAAAAAAAATCTTGGTTCTGCTTGTCACTTGTTTAATTGAAGGGAAACAGAACTGCTTTGTAAATCAAAGCATACTCAAAGCCCCGGATGATGAATCACAAATAAAGAATCTCAATTGGCGGGCTATGCATTGCAGAAATTGATTGAATCAAAGGACTACTGGAATGAAAGTAAAGAACGACAGTTCCCAGGGCCTCTTGTGTTTTTTATTGTAAGTTAAAAATTTTATAATGTCAATGCTCAAATTAGTTGTGTTACTAATCAAATATGTATAATGTAATGCACAATATTTAAAACTTACAATATAAAGGTCTTCTATGTTGACAATGTGGTATTCAAAGGAAGAAAAATAGGAAGAGGATTGCCATCTATAATTGGATGGACAACTCAGATTCTGAACAAAAGAGAAAGGGAAGAGATACAAAGTGGAGGGTTTGGATTTGGATACATAGATGAACCAAATCAAGGAACACTTGCAACCCCACATTTGATTCAAAATGAAGGGGAAATTGAAAAGGGAATGTGGGAGAAAGCAAGTCAAATAAGATAAGGAAAATAATGTCTTATTTTAAAATTTATTCAGGAATGAAACTGGTAACATTTTTAATAATTAAATAAGTATATTTTAAAAAAAATAGTTAGTTGATATGAAATAAAATAATAAATATTTGACTTGACATTGTTTATAGTTTAAAATTCAAAATAAAATAACAAATACTCAATTCAAGAGTTAGTAATACTCCTATGTTTCAAACAGGATATCATGAAAGAATTTGCTTCAGCAGCAAAGTACTTGGCTGATAGCATAGCAAACTTTGATAAAAAGTTTCAAGAAGCTGCAAAGGTGTTGCCTGATGATGATAAAATGAAGGTTCTGCTGGGAAAAGTCCATGGACTCTTCAACACATACTTAACAGAACCATAAACATCTGAAAAAGAAATATCATTGACGCCTGATGATGACTTCTGGACTGAGGAGGTTTTAAGGGCAGTTGAAGCTATTGAAAAGGCTCAGAAAAAAAAGAAATGACAGGCCTACATTGACACGATATGAAAAGCCCAGCATCACACTGCTTTCACAAGAATCAAATGAGCATACTGATCTTCCTGAGCATGAAGAACATCAGAATGAGTATGTGCATGAGGTTGATGAGCATGAGCATGAAGCTGAAGAAGTGTATGTGGATTTAGAAGCTATTCGTGTGACTGAAAAGGGAAAGCAAGTTTGTATTGAAGAAGAAGGTAAATGTCACGAAAATGTAGTGAAAGAAAAAAGACTACCACAGCGAACCTTGCCCTCAAGTCACCGTTTGTGATAATGGTTACAGAAATAAAGGGGGAATAACTACTGAAGAAGTCAAACTAGCTCAATTTGTCTTTGACGAGAAGTCTGATAAAACGTAAGTAACTAAATATTTATAAGAATAAGAATAAATTATTGGACTATAATATTTGATTAATGTTAGCTGACCATTGTTAATCACAAATAGGGCTGTGTTATACAAAGAAGAAGATCTGGTGCTTTCGAGAAGTGAGATGGACAATTTGAACATCAACTGTAAAGTCAGTCCACTGCTCATAGATTTATGGGCTATGATTTTGAACGAGAACGAGAATTTGAAAAGCACTGAATCAAGGAATAGATTGATATTCACGACAATGCCATGTGTAAGAATTATTGCTTTAAGTATTTTTATTCATATACTCCCTCCGTCCCGAAAAGGTTGGCCAAAGTTGACTTTCACGTGGATTAATAAAGTAAAAACTGTGTGGTTGAAATTTGTGTAGAGAAGAGAGAATTAATCTTAGCCACAGTTTCCTTACTTTAAATGGAAATGACAAATCTTTTTGGGACATCCAAAAAAGGAAATTTGGTCAGCCTTTTCGGGGCGGAGGGAGTATTTATAACAAATATCCTAAATAATTGATTTACAGAGAGTATTGGAGGAAAATCAGCTTAGTGCTCCAGCAACTCGAAAAAGGAGGTTTATTGAAGCTACACTGAGCCAATTGATCAAGAGGGCATTGCCCAAAGTGAAGAACATGGACTTGTTTATCTTCCCGACTGAACAGAATGGTAGCTACTACCTTATGAGCTTTGATTTGAAGTACATGAAGTTCTTAATAATTGATAGCTGTGACAGGGAAGTATCAATACAAATGAAGTATTTTTCACTACCAACCCAAGTGGTAAGTATAAAAATCTATATTATTTGTTTTTAAAAATGAGTATAGGTGCCAAAAACAATGAGTATCTTTACATATTTTTTGTGCAAAATGTTTATAAATACTTCATACAGAAACTATTTAATTGCTTAAATTTACAAAAAAGTGCTGTTTTGAAATGGCTGAAAGAAGAGAAGCATCAACATGCAGACAAAGTGAAGACTATGAAGCCAGAGATGATAAGAATGGGATGGAGAAACAAAAAAAACAAAGCCAATGAAGGAGTCTACCTTATGAGACATATGGAAACTTTTAATGGAGAAACTAAGTGGGAGTGTGGCCTAGAAAAAGAAAATATAAAAAACATCCACTTTTTTTATTAAAGATTTATTGTTATTTTACTAATATGTGAAAACTATGGAATGTTAATACTAACATATATAATCATTCTGGAAAATCCCATTCAGATCTTGAGGTTTAAGTACTTGCATAAGATGTTGACTGATGGAGTAATGGGACTAGGTCCAGAGCCTAATCAGCCCAAGCCTCGAACTTGGACTCGTGGATCCAAGTCCACAACTTGGAGCTTGCCTGCCAGCCCAGCGGGGAACCTGCCAGTCCGGGCGACCTCCCGGTCCGGAAGAGTAACGGTCAAGCAATTAATTCGCTTTTAATTATGTATTTAATTCCGTATTAATGCTGTAATTAATTAGTCATTATTATCGGTAGCGGTTACGCTTTGTATACGCCTATAAAAGGCGGGCTGTAATTCAGATTAGAAGCAACTTCTATATGCTATTTCTGGCTAACTTTCCATATTCGTACTTTCCTAATTCTTGCTTGAGTGTCGTAAGTAGCTTTCCTAAAAGCCTACGAGCGTCCTATTTTGGACCAACATTGACATTTCAAAAGAATGAAGTCAGGGGAGATGTGATGTCAAAAGTGAAGGAAATGTAGTGCTTCTATAATGAAGAAACACTTAGTTTAATCTCACGTATAAATGCTTCCATGATTTCTTTTGAGAAAAACTTTTTTTGTTTGTGTTAATGACATTGATAGAGTATATATTCTAGAGAGAAGTGAGAGCTAGAAAGAGAAGTGCAATAATTTCTGCAATAAATGAATGTTTCAACCCCTACAAATACTCCCAAAGGAGTATTTATAGAGAAAATATGGGCTGGGCTCCCAAGTCCTGGGCTTGGGAGGCCCATTTACAATGGGGCCATTACTGGGCCGAGTACAAAATATGTAGAAATGACTAAGTATGAAATCCGACTCTGTGAGCTCTCTGTGGCCGACGGGGGTCTGGTCGACGGAGCCACTGTAATATCTTATAAACTAGTAATACTTCATCTTCATACTTAATTCTCGTCTTAGTTTATGCTTCGAGGACGAAGCATTATTTAAGGAGGGTAGAATGTGATACCTTGAAAATTTGAAATAAAAATAAATAAGTAAACAAATCAGATAAGTTATATCTGATAAATCAAATAAAAGTAATATCAAAATATTTTGTATTATACTTGGTGTATAAAAATATACGCACACGTCATGCAATAGAATTAAACACTTATGTGGCATTAGAAAAATAAAATAAAAATAAAAATGAAAATAAATCAGATAAAATATAGGTGACAGAATAAATAACTAAATAAATAAAAATAATAGTAAGAATATTATAAATTACTAATAAAAGTATCAAAATGATAAATGAAAATATCAGATCATAAAACAATCTCACATGTTAAGATCACCTACCAAATCATGTATATACATTATGTACATATACACACATATACATACATTTATATGTAAAAAAAATACATTTAAGTAAATAAAATAAAAATAAAAGAAAACATAAATATCCAGAGGAATCAAATCAGGAACTAATACACATGCCATGTTCATCAACTATCAACCTATCATTATGTATAAACATTATTATTTTTATTATTTTATTATTCATCGAATTATCAAATAAATAAAATAAATCATAATAATTCATTTAAAATCCAGAAGGATCCATCTAGACCTATAAATAAACCCCTTAGTCATCCCAAACACTTCAAATCAGAGAGATAGAAGCTATATATACATACACACACACACACACACATATATATATATATAATCTCGTCTGAAAACTTCTATATATATAATTTTACGTATAAATCTTCTTAAAAACGATAGAGGAGGGTCGTGAGAGGTCTAGGAATACTTCCCAATAAATTTGAGACCGATTCGTAGTCACCGGAGTTTCTTAGACGTCGCCGAAGTTGCAACTTGAATCGTCGAAATTCGTTATCTGTAAGTCAAGTTATAGCTCGCCGAAGTTTTCTAATTTCCGGCGAAGTCGCTGGTATCGCGACCCGGAGAAGATGACCCAGTTGGCTGGGTCAAAACTTTTGGGTCGGGTCAGTTTAATGGGCCGGTTCGGCCCAGTTTCGATAAAAATAAAAAATAAAATAGTAAATCAAATAAATAAAATCGGGAAAAATATAAATTAAGTACCTAGTATAAATATACATATTTGGACCAACCAGAATTGAAAGATATTATTTTTAGCTATTTTTAATTGATTTAATTGTAATTGGGCCAAGTTGTACACATTTAACAAAATATTAACTAAATAACGAAAATAATTATGAAATAAATATTGGAGTAAACTAGACTAAATATATGAACAACTAGGACATTTGGGACCATTTATAATTAATAAAATATATGATTAGTATATTTAATTGTAATTAAAGCAGTTAATAGATACAACAACAACATCCCAGCCTTAGTCCCAAAAGATATTGGGGTCGGCTAACATGAATCGATACATGATATCACAACCATAAGGAAAAGAAATAAAATAAAGATAAAAAAGATAAGCTATTATAAAAAGATAATATAAAAAGAGATGAATATACATAAAAATGATAAAATAAAAAGGCTACAAATAATGCTTATATATATAAGAATAAAAAACAAGGAAAAAAAGATTAGGGAAAAAATTATACGAGATCACTCCTTCACGCGAATATCCGCCCTCCACTTAGTTCTCTCCAAAGTCAAAAGCACTTAATAGATTTATGAAATTAAATGAATCAATAAGAGAAATAATTATAAAATAAATATATGGACAACCTAAGTCAAATATAGACCCAAAATATGGTTATGGACGATTATTAATTTATAAAGTTGATTCTTAAACTATTTAATTTAATTGGGCCATATAAAACTAGTTAAGTAATTAGATAAGGAAATTTTGATATTAATGGTGAAATAAATAAATCAATGAGATTGAAAATAATATTCTGGACTAAAAATGATGTTTGGAATAAAATAAGGAAAAGAAAATAAAGTTGGGTTAGCTAGCATAAATGAATGACTATATTTGGACTTAATAAATAAATTATTGAATTAGTGGACTAATTAAATTAGTTTGATTAAATTAATAATTATTGTTCTTGATTATTATTGATTCGAATTTCATATAAGTTGTTAAACTATTTGAACTTATAAAAAATTAGTTGACTACTATAAATAAATTAATTAAGTAATGGGTACTTAATAATTTAGTTAATTGACCTTATTGGACTAGTTTTACTAAATCAATTAGTTTAATGGATAAATTAGTTAAATTATAGACTTGGTAATATTGTTGGAATTTGTAGTAAAAATAGAAAATTAAAACGATATTAGAATTTAGTTATTGGCCTTAACTGAATTGGATTAATATATTTAGCTATATTGATATAATTAAACTTATTTAGTTGATGAAGTTAGTTCAATTAAATTAGTTAATCAAATAAATAAATTTGGAGGGTGGGATTAGTTAATGTAATTAGGTTAGTTATTATAAATAATCTAGTGAGCTAATTAAAGTTGTTATTGAGATTAGATTATCATTAATGATTATTATTTCGAATTATTGCTTACGCTAAATCATCATTAAAAGATTTATTAAATAAATTATATAAGTTATGTAAACTGAATTTCGGACTAAAATTAATTATTTAATTCGAAATAATAAAATTATTATGTAATTAAGTTAATTAGACTAGTAAATTAATCAATCAAATAAATTAAAGTAAATTATGGAGGGGATTAGTATGATCAAAGAAAATAATAAGGTGGACTGAAAATTAACTTTTTAAATAAGGTTTATGAATCTAACCTAATAGTTATATTTAAAGAAGGAATTATAAAATTAAAATAATTAAAGATGGGATAGATAGGAAATAACAAAAATAATAGAATAGTTATTGATTTAGAATTTTGATATATGTTAGAAGGAGAATTCAAGTGAAGACCAAGTTAGAGATTTTATTAAGGGGATTATCGCAATTTAAGGTAAGTTTCTCTGCCAATCCAAAATTATTTCCTCGTATTATATGCTTATTATGCATTATGTGATTAAGTGTGCATTTTGAATTATGTGTATGTGATTTTGAGGAGATATTAGATCTATGGTATTTGAGAAGTGCAAAGTAAGTACTTTTAGGTATTAAATATTTTTAAATACTTTAATTTTGAGACTATTTAGAGGGATTGAGAAATATTTTTGGAAGTATATCTAAAGTCAAGATAAAATTTACGTTTTCATAAGAGGTGAGCACTCGGAAGAAATCCGTGGTGTCGGTTTTCCACATCCAGATAAATGTGGAGAGTGATTAGGGCTGCTGCTACTAAGAAATATAGTTTGAGTTTGAAGTGACATTTGGATCTATGATCCCTTTTAAGAAGAAGTTATAGTAGTAGTAGCCCCTAATCATTCAAGAATTTTAAAGGTGGGGTAGTTGGTAGACTGAGTCCCGACTACTCGTACGACTTACTAGTCAGAGGGCTTGGGATCCCTTTTAGGGGGTGTGCACACTTAAGGTACTCGTTTCGTTTCCATTAGCAGTTGTGGTACCGGCAAAAGTCCCGGGGTGGCCGTACATAATAACGTAACCACCGGGCTCAACCAGAATGTTGAGCACCACCCTTCTAAATTACTAGGAAGATAGAGAAGAAGTGAATTTTGAGAAATTCTAAGAGAAGAGTTACTATAGTATTTTCGAAGAAAAGTTGAGGACTTTAATAAAGAAGTGATTTTGAGAAAAATCAAAGAGAAGAGAATTTTGGCGGAGTGTGTTATTTTTATATAGTATTATATCAAAAACTATTTTTCGCCAAACCCGATTATTTTACGGGGTTGGGTAGTACTTACTTAGCTCTAAAGCTAATTTTTGTTATTTTCCTTGTCCTTCTCTCCTCCCTTAATTTTTAACAGGTTATGAGTTGGGTGCTTATGTGGATTGATGGATTGCTCAAGCCTGAGAGCGAATTAGAATATACCTTAGTTGAACTTAGTCTTAAATAAACATTTATTTTATGTTGCTTTCACTTTATTTAGTTTTAAGTTGCCTGTGCATCCGGCCGTGTTTGGTCGGGTGTGGCGGTAACACCCATTTCCCATTATTATTATTTCCGCTGCAAAACTCTACTCACTTTGAATGAATAAATCAAGGTTGTTATCAATATATTATTATTTCAAGTATTATTTTGGGCGGGAAATTTGGGGGTGTTACAGCCACGACCGACGGAGATCCGGCCGACGGAGACACCTGGTTCTCCTGACTTCTGGATCATGTTCTGAGTTGCTTTCTTTCTAGCCGATGGAGGGCCATCTGGCCGACGGAGGTCCCACTCAGTGACAGCTGTGTCTCTCGTTCTTATGAGTATGTGGGTCCTGGGGTCTAGACCCATATACTCCATCAGTAGTCCCCCACTCTCTGAGATGAGATGTAGACGAAGTGAGGGAGAGTAGATTCTTGCAATCCTGACGTTTTTGGCCGACGCGGGGGCGCTGCGGTT